TTCCTTAATGAAATATTCTATTTTTTCCAACTTAAACAGGTAATCCTTTTTCCATCTTGTATTAATAACTTTCTTGATCTTGCTTTTACCTATAATTGTGTTGTATCTACCAGTTAAGCTCAGGGATTCAAATCTGACCATAATGCAATATGTTTAGATGTCTTATTAAATACCAATAAACAGCAATCTGCCAAATACATTAATATTCCAATTTGGGTCTCATTCAATGGAACGGAGGCCTCAAAAATCCTTTGCTCCATTGACTGGACCTTCCTCAACTTGCCTATTTCTCCTCAGAAACTTACTGATAAAATTTACAACTTGTTTTCTGCCACTATTAAAAAATTATTACAATTCCGTAAAATAAACTCTTCCACCAATAGATGGTTTCCTCTATACTTAAAGAAATTATCCAATATGGTCAGAAAACAATGGAGCAAATGAAAACGTTATGGTAACCCTTGTGACTTATACTTACATATTATAGAATATTGAAACAACATTATTACCAGGAACGTTGTATTGCTTTTCTAGAATATTTTAACAGAACTGTGTCTAACTTTGCCACTGATCCTCGTACCTTCTGGCATTTCATTCCTAACTTCAAAACAAAAAAAAAAACCCTCCTCACAAAAATCTATTCCGGATGATAAAATATATGATATATTTAATAATATTAAATCTAGATATTTTTGCATTTTACCTGAAGCTAAGTTTCATTCCCTATCCTTTCAACAATGCAAACATAAATTCTTTATTTCTTTTTCTGATGTTAAGTCTGCCATAGATAACCTAAACAACTCAAATTATAGTCCAGACTCAATTCTTTAAAAAGTTAAAGGCAATATCCACTGTTGTTCTCTCCAAACTCTTCACAAGTTTATTAAACTCTAGTCACATTCCAAATCAATGGTTAATCTCTAATATAAAGGTTCTCCCCAAAAAAGATAATTCCTTTAGACCAATAACTATTCTATCAGCCATGTTAAAAATTTTTGAAATTTGCTTATATAACAAAATCTATACCCAAATTACCTCCAGATTCTCCCCTCATCAACACTGTGGCATCCGTAACCTTTCGACTACTACTAACCTACTTGAAACAACTTATACTATTTTGCAAAATTTTGAGAACAAAAAATCCACCTACATAATTTATATTGACATTTCCCAAGCCTTTGACTCTATCATTCCTAAATTACTACTTCAGACTCTAATTGATTATTTTGATTTAGATCCTGCTCTTTACTGTTGGTTAAACAATTACTATTTATCCAGACTATGTAAGATTCACATTGGTGACTTTGATTTTTTCCCTTTCTCTCCTATCTGTGGCATACCTCAAGGATCTGTACTAAGCATGCTTTTTTTCTCAGCTTATATAGATAAATTACTAACCAACCACCACTCTAAAGTAATTGCCTACGC